CTGAAACCAAAGTATCTCTAGGCTTCTAAAGGTAGGTAAAGCTGTCCCTGTAACAGGCCGTGGAGGCCCATAGGATTGTGAGACGTCGAGGCTCCCATACTTTCTAGACAATAGGCTTACAGATGGCGGTGAGGTTGTCAGCCTTACGCGCCGGCCGCCCTATACCCCCAGGAAGATTTCTGATACTCTTTTTGCTAAAGGCTGAGTCGACCCCAGGGCCATAGTGCGGCTGGAAGGATTAGATCAATTGAAAAATCAAATGACCTCATCGGGAATCGAACCCGCGACCTTCCGGCATGTAGCGGAGTGCTTCAACCAACTACGCTACCGCTTGCCCCCATCTCTAGGCTTGTAATAATTTTTATGCGCCGTGCGTCAATCTTCTTTTCGGAAGGCACCCACGGAGCGGCAGTCTTCCTCTGGCCGTTCAACCTGCCCGACAAGTACACGTTAGCCTCAGGAGTACAACAACCTGTGGCGAGTCACATGTGGCTCGAGGACTTGGTCTGGACTTCACAAGACTTACTTCATGGTCTACAGGAACATCACGGTTCGATTCCCAGAATGAGCAGGTATTTTCCTGTTCAACGTCGCGTCCAGATCAGCTCTGGGACCTGCGTGGACCCGGGGGCTGTTTCTCTAGGAGTAAAGAAGACAGATGCATGAGGCTAACCGCTCACATCCACAAAATACATAGTTAAGAATACGTGGCTCTATACCTCCACTCTCCCTTGCATTTCCATGGCTTTACACTTTTACTCTTCACTCAGCCTGCGGAGAGACATGGGGTTCTCATGGCGGTGAATACGAAGGGTTCTTACCTGTCTACCAGACTGTACGGCTTCGCAATCAACAAAGAAGGATAATATGCATTTTAATAATACGAATGTTCTGAATATTCACCCGTTAGAACGTCTCATCTGACAAACAACTGATTAATCTGAATTAAATTTTGGTATTGGAGGTCGACTCTAACACTCTAAAATGCAATGGTCGCTATATGTACCACCCATTTTGCCATCACAGTGCATTTGTGAATTTCGTAGGGTTCTCACAACAAACAGAGCACAATTTCCTAGACAGCATTAACCAATTTCATAACAAGCCGTTTATTTCGGTGCAGTTACCTCCACGCCCTCACGCCTAAGCTGGAGGATCGCCTACCTGTCGGCTGTCCGCTACTGCTTATTCAATATATTTGCGAAGTATTATAAGAGCGAACAAGTCAAGGAGGATGGGATGGGCGGGGCATGTAGCATGGGAGAGAATAGTGCATAAAGGGTTTTGGTGGGAAAGCCAGAAGGAAAGAGACCACTAGGAAGATGCAGATGCAGATGGCAGAGGAATATCCGAATTCTTCTTAGAGAAGCAGGGCGGTGGCGTGATTACTGGAACCTTCTGGATCCATAAAATGGTGGGAGATTCTTGAGTAGCTGAGCGACTGGCGGCTTCTCAAGAAGGGCTCAGCGCCATGGAGTTAATTAGTCAGCATTAACCGATCAGTCTTTCTAAGGGGACGGACTGTTTCTCCCATGAGGACGAGACTCAGTGTTTGGATAATATTTCGGTGGATTTCGGGCGCTATGCGTCAGTTTCTTGCTTGGCTTATTCTTCGACCTTGAAGAGTGAGGTGATATATTCGCCCCAAACGTCGGTTGACTTTCAACAGACGACATGCCGCTATATCCCAGAAGACAGAACTCTTCAAGACTAATATGGGTCGACAAATATTAATTCCGAAACTTCGAAATTCCATGGAAATCCGTTATGCGGCTCTCAAGTTGTTTCAGGCGTCAGGACAGAAGGGCGACGGAAGCACAAAGTAACACTGCGGTTCCATGCGCATTCATGGCCAGGTCAAACTCGGACGCCATCGGTCTTCATCCGGCTGATTAGCATAGCGTGCCAAGCGGCACGAATAAGACCGAACTTTGAGATGATCTCAGCGGATAAAACGTACCGGTCTCACAGCAAAACCTGCAGCCTCATTTATTTTCATAAACTGGGCCTTAGCGGAGACGTTTATTGATGCAGTAGCACAAAGCCCGTTGAAATAAATGCGATATTGCTTAGAACATGAAAAGTTCTGAAAAGACGGACTTGCTTCTTGAGGTCAACAAGTTTACACCTTACATGACAGCTGAGTCCCAATTATCCAACCTAAACGGGATCGATAAAAGGACGACCGGCGCGTAACCGCCATCTGTTAACCGACTGTCTAGAAAATGTGGGAGCCTCGACGTCTCACAACTATGGGCCTTCACGGCCTCTTACAGGGAAAGCTTTAACTTTTACCCTTTACAATGTAGCAGGGTAAAAAGTTAGAGTTGTCCCTGTGTTTAACTAATAAGCACTGTGCCAGTTGTATAGATCCAAGTATTCTTGACGTTGGAACTAGTTGGGACCGGTCACGGTAGCCGAGCGGTCTAAGGCATGCACTGTCTTCGCTCACTCTGAAGCCGGGATCGTGGGTTTGAATCCCACTCATGGCATTGATGTTTGTGTGCGTTTTTCTGTGTTTGTCTACAGGTAGAGGCCTTGCGACGAGCTGATCACTCGCCCAAGGAGTCCTACCGTATGTGCAAGATCTAGAAAAACCGAAGTGAACGGAGAAGTTCATGGAGGTAGGCCTAGGCCCACTGGGGCTGTATTGCCAGAGGGGGGGGGGGAACTAGTTGGGGGTGAGTGACCAGCTCCACTCCCGCGTAAAGAGTCCCAGGTACCCACTGAATAGGAGGCTGGGTGGACCCCAGAACCCGTCTGGACGCTGTGGAGAGGAGAAAAATCTTGCCCCTATCGGAACTCGAACTCCTACCCCGCGTCCATCAAGCCAGCAGCCAGTCTCTATACCGACTGAGCTATGCCAGCTCCTCTACTTACTACAGTACTCGTATTATCTACGTTAATGTTATCCTCTCATTTTATTTTCGGTATTTAAATTGACAGGTTTTCCACATGTTTCCTCGTCAAAAGTCTTCACACATTTCTTATGTCTGCACATCTGAATTCAATGTTCTGCATATCGCAATCCCTCGAGTTCATTAACATAAAAATACTATATGAATCACAAAGTGCTCCGTAATGTATTATTCTAAACTTCCCACTTACTTCGCTCCTCGGAGCGCCAAGAATTAATTCTGACAAGCCCGTAATTCAGGGTCTTCCCTCAAAGTTCCAGAACTCCCAACAAATTCTGTTATGAAGTTCGGTGGAGTATCAAACATCCTACTCTGTACGGGCATTCATCAACCCTTGAATTGCCTTTCTTTTGCTTACTGAGGAAGATTCGTGTATATTCGTCTTGAAATGACACGTAAAGACTTCCTATACGACAGGTTACAAATCGTCAAAGTTATGTGCTATTTGGTCATAGCTTTGTAAAACAGATGTTGACTATCCATCAAGACCTGGGAACACAGAACACGAGATTAAACCAACAATGCCAAGTGTTAATAACATTTATAATTCAAAACAGATCCGGGGAAACATACGTAACCAAACTACACCGCGGCATTTGTGCGTCGTGAGAGTTCACGCCATGTGAGGGCCAAGTAACGCGCAGGTTACCTGAGGGTCATGCCAACTGAGAGTCACGTATGGGTCACAAGCAGAGGCCCAGAGGAGAGCCGTGTCTCGTATGGGCCAAGAGACGGGTGAGTGTGGACACGCTGGGAGTCACCTCATGTGAAGGAAACTTGAGGACCATATCGTGTGAGTGATAAGGGTCACTTCAACTGATGGACACTGACTGTCGTGTCATGGTGGACTGTATTCAGTTAGAACAGACTGCACCAAGTGACGGCCACCTGAGGGACAGACCAAGTGATTGGCAACAGATCATGCAGAGTAAGCACTGTATCAGGTGAGTCACGTGTGGACCATGCAAGGCGAGGGCCTGCTGAGGATCACATCAGGTGAGTCACGTGAGGACCATGTAAGGTGAGCGGTTGCTGAGGGTCACATCAGGTGACAGTCACGTGAGGGTCGTGTAAGGTGATCAGCTGCTGGGATCACGTCAGGTGAGTCACGTGAGGATCGTGTAAGGTGAGCGGTTGCTGAGGGTCACACCAAGTGACACTCACATGAGGATCATGTAAGGTGATCAGCTGCTGAGGATCACGTCAGATGAGTCACGTGAGGGCCACGTAAGGCGAGCAGCTGCTGAGGATCACGTCAGGTGAGTCACGTGAGGGCCATGTAAGGTGAAGGCCGGCTGAGGACCACGACAGTTGACAGTCACGTGAGTCACGCCGTGTGTTCACCTACGCGACGTGTACGCCGAAGACACCTGACGGCCATGGGTAGGTCTCAGAATCGTTATTGAGGTGGTGACGAAGATAGAAATACTTTACCTTGCTGGTAATCGAACCGCGCTCATTCGGCCCGTAGCGGAGATCAAAGCGCAGTGCAATAAAACGCACCTAAACTACGTTTTAATCTTTGGAATTTAGGTTCATAAGCGCGGAAAAGTTAAAAGAAAAGTAAATTTTNGACTGCTTTCTTCATAGTCACCGCCGTGAAAGCCTCAAATCTTACATAAATTTTCTCATATTTTCTGACACTACATCATGGCGCCACGAAGTTTCGCTTCGAATTACTTTACGTCAACGCTTAGATGGCGCGGACTACACAAAACTCGACGAAGTTCTGGCCTTAAAAGTAGGTTCTGGTAAGAAAGTGATTACCATCCACATCCTAAGTAGCCACTGCAGGTAAGTAAGAAGTTCTAGTTTCTCTGAAGTAGATATTTGTTCCAACATGCGTAATGTAAATGTACAAGTGTACTGATAAAGCACATGGAAACAGATGAGTAAAAGAAAATATGTCCGAAAGTTCACGAAATAATATTTATTTTACACGATGGAAATGTTATTTACTCGACAGCAGGGACACACTGATATATGTGCCGCGGAAGCCGCTAACTGAGCAGTTTCTCTCACCTTGTGACCTAAAGGAGAACGAAAGATCAAGGAGGAATTTGCACTAAGTTCGCACCGAGAATGCAGACGTCAGCGGACTGTATCTCTAGACGGACGCTCCTGTCTCTAGCAGCTTATGTGACCCTCCAACTGGTTTTATCCGCAGCAGATCAAAACTTGCGGCTTCACTTGCTTCGCTGTGCCGTCGCTGTTAGCACGAGACATTTCCCTGCTGGTGGGACACTCGCGATCTCCATACCACGTAGCAACGCGTACACAACAGGACACGCGCGTCGCACCATCAGCCATATACAGCAAGAACTAGAACTTCATGACCAGGGAACAAGAAGGCTACAGCTTCAGACACAATGGCCGATCGTCATCTCGACACCCGGACCCACAAAAGGCGAAGCGTCGAAGTATAAAGATCAGAGTTACGTCATATTCACAGGATTTCGGGCGACATCTGGCGACATGATTGAGGAACTAGAGCAGCAGCTTCGTGTGCTGAAGGGACGAACTGCATGGAACCCCAGGGGTTTGTTCCTGATCCTCATCTCGGAGCAGGAAGGTAGGGACGCAGCGATGGCGCGGCAGGTGTTGCAACTGCTCTCGACTTACAAGGCGCTGAACGCTCTGGTCGTGGTGCCAGCTCCCGTCCATGCACTTGCTCTATACACTTGGCGTCCGTACCAATCACCTGACATCTGCATACAGGTGAAGGAAGTGCTGTTGGATTCGTGGCTCTTTGAAAACGGTGGTCATTTTGTATCCAATTCTCATCTGTTCCCTCAAAAGGTTCCTTACAATTTTAAGGGATGCAATATTGCCGTGTCTACACTCGAATTAATGCCATTCGTTCTCATATCAAAGGGAGCTGATTCTGAGAAGAGGTGTAGTGAGGGCCTGGAGTGTCAAATGTTCACGCTGATAATGAAGACATTGAACGCGACATTTCAGTTGAAGTTCCCCGGAGAAGAACGATGGGGTAAGAAACTGGGAAACAGTTCGTGGTCAGGGATGAAGGGTCACTTGTTTACGTACAAATCCGAGATGGCATTTGGAGCTCTGTTGCTGGGCACAGAAGAGTGTGATGCATTCGAATGCTCTGTCCCCTACTTTCAAAGTCAGTTAGTTTGGCATGTGCCGCGTGCAAAACAGATCGCAAAGTGGAGAAGTGTGTTCCTGGTGTTCAGACTGACCACGTGGTTAGCCTTGATCGCAGTGTGCGTCGCGGTTATTTTCCTGCTGTGGCGAATGTCACACAGTTCCGAAACACCATCGTACGCAAGCTTGAGCAAGTGTTTATTGAGCGTGTGGGCAGTAGTGCTGGGAGTATCAGTGCCACAAATGCCTCGCACTCTCAAGGTGAGAGCACTGTTCCTCATCTGCTTGTTTTACTGCCTTCATATCAACATCGTCTACCTTTCGTTTATGGCAACTTTCATGATAAATCCAGGCTCTGAGCACCAAATTCGGAATGTGGAAGAGCTAGCCAACTCAGATGTTGAGTACGGCTATCATGAGGGGTACGACATACATTTCAATGATACCACTGATGCAACATCGGAGAATATACTACGCCATCGGACACAATGTGGAGGTAGTGAAAATAAATGTTTAGAACGGCTGACCAAGAAGGGAGACTTTGCAATGCTTGCTGCGACAGACATCGTGGAATACACTGCCGCTTGCGGGTACCTTCAGAACCCTTGGAAATCTCTATTTTACGCTTTCCAAACCGGTTTCGTTAGTTCCAATTACGTAATGTACCTGACTAAAGGAAGCCCCCTATTGGACAGGATCAATAGCATCACAAGGCACGCGACAGAAGCTGGACTAGTGAATCACTGGTGGACAAAGATCATTAATTCCTGCACACTAAAAAGTTACATGGAGCTTCAAGAGGAACCCTCAACGCTCAGTGTGTCACACCTGCAGTCAGCTTACGTTATCCTGTTTCTGGGACTCGGACTCTCCTTCTCGGCGTTTGTGGTTGAATTAATTTGTGCCTCTGGCCGAAAGAACTGCCTTAAGAAAGTTGTATGACTACAGAGCGCCTTGCGTACAAAACTACAGCCATTATTCTGTATTCCCTGCTGACAGCGAAATGACTGTGTTTCGTGAGTGAAGCCACAATTCAATGCGCAAAGCAATTAGATACAGGCTCAATACCCAGGATACTATTCTCCTCAGGAGCAGGATATTCTATAATGTGACACTGTGCATTCTGATAGATATTTATCGACGTTTCGGAGAGCGCTGACAGTAATATTTTCGCTACTGTGCTCAGACCGACACTGAGGCCGACACAGTTTCTTCTCCAGAGGATACTGGAGACGACTTTACCGGGGACAAAGTTGCCGAAGCGTGAAGCTGACCCCTGATCTCCACCTAGTGCCTAGATTAAGTATGAGTGGAGCTATATTCCACTCCTCTATGTGCCTTCGCAGGGTGATGCTTAGATCAGAAGTAACATTGTCTTGAATTTTAGTTCTTTTTATCAAATTTTATTGACTTGCTCGTGGTATCGTAGGGGCTCAGTATTGTAATCTCAAGGCACGTAAATAAATAATAATCTATCGAATATTTATTATTATTCGTTTATTAATTATTATTATACAATAATAATATATAATAATTAATTTATTAATTAGTATTATTATTATATATTATTAATGTATATTATTCATGGAGTTGTATTTAATTAATTAAGCACAGGAACAACTTCACATTTTTCAACCATTCTGTGAAAATTAAAAGCGATAGAAGTGGGCAAGACATGACATAGAAAAAAAAAAGACATGCCTATTTGAAGATTCTAATAGTTTCGTTAGTGATTCTGTTCGATGAATACTGATCCTCTCAGACTAACTCCGACAGATGACAAGTGGCCCGGTGCAGTAGCACTGGGACCGAGTGACGTCATGAGCTACATCCCGGGAGTCCATCGGTCATACTCACCACTACAAGCGTTCGACTTGCTGCAACGGGGATGCGCAGATCCTTCACACGGATCATAGTTCAACAGAAACTCATCCAGCGATCATGATGGTCAACATCTGCTACTCACATAAACCTTACAAGAAACTGTGGTTCTAAGGAAACTCCTCCCAATGCGATTACCGAAGACCAGCCTTCTATAGAAACACGGCCGAGGGAGATTATCGGAGCTCAAGGTCCCCAGTAACTGGACTGGGAGCGATTACGGGAGATCAAGGTTCATAGTGTGACATATCGGCATACTGCTAGGCAACGGCTCAATGAACATCTTACCGCGGAGACAGACTCTTGGTAAACAGCTCCTTGTGGGTAATGTGTACAACAATATGCAACAATAAGGGACATCCGTTGCTGGGTAACTGGAAAATAAACGCGCTTTCTAGGACAACATAAGGGTGTTTTCCATGGGGTTCGTGCCGAGGAAATATAAGAGAGTCGAATTCCGAAGCTGGTGGCTGTAGGAGTACAAAAGAGTACAGGGGAGTACGCCAGGGTACGCGAAGTGGGTAGATTAGTGGTAGCGCTGAAATTCTTTGTGATTATAAGTGATTGTAAAAGAATGGGTTCAAAATAAATTCATCCAATACAGAGCCCGGAACCCCGGACACGTGACATTAGTAATTAAAGCGGAAAATTGTGTATTTTCTAATAATCATAACCATCGCTCTGCAAGTCCTGATATCCATTACTGATGAATGAATATCTGGACTTGCAGAAATTACAATTTCGGCGACTAGAACAGCAGCAGGGCGGGCTACAGCGAGGGGTTCGCGACCCGCTGTGCGATGCCGCAAGCCTCTCAGCACACGTTAGGAGCCGATCAGGAAACAGAACAAAGCAAAGGTAAGGGCGGGTCTGCAGGCTTGCTGACCCTGACTTGATTAATCCATACATAACCCACAGCCTCTGGCCTCTGTTCCTTCAATTAACGTGTAAAAGGGACACGCAGCTCAACCGCTTTTTGTGTGCCACGCACGTTCTCGTGTTCCTCGGAAAGTCAAGCAGTCGAGTGCAAAAACGCACCATCTGCGTTCGCACTGATGCTCCAGAGGGCAAATTCAGTTTACTGTGGAATATTGTGACATGTAGACACATTCCCACGGCAACGAATACGCAGGCAACAATCGGATAACTTCAGTTGCTGTGCAACGCGTTGTAAATGCAACAGAGGAAGAAGTGCTTTCTATGTGGATCGCATATATCCATTGCTAGGTAACGGTCCAATAAACACGCATTCGTGTTAACAGAAGACGGTGTTTTCCGTTGGGTCCGTGCGGAGGAATTATAAGAGGGCATAGAAAGGAGTATCGGGGAACGCGAACGAGAATGGAGCGGGCCCTAGTGATCTGTGAAGTGGGTGGACTAGCGATAGCGCTATAATTGTTTGTGATTAAGAGAAATTGTAAGGGAAGGTGTCAATAAATCCAGTCATCCAATCCAGAACCCGTTATTATTAGTCACGGAGCCACAAACTCATGAGCTTAATACCGAGTCAAAACTATACAGAGGTTTCGTAGGACTAATGACCTCCTTTTTCAGGGTGTAAATACTTTCAAGTGCTCCTGAGGCTGCGGGCAGGTTCAACCTTCATTACACGGATCTCAGTGACCATGTCCAGTGCATCTGCGGTGACAGAAGCGCTCAGCCCCGCAAACCTTCAGAGGAACATGGCTACGTGCGTTGCCTCGTGCCACACAATTAGCGGCAGGAACCCACCATGCGTGAGGATTTCCAGACGACAAGAATTAACTTCATGCCCTAAATTCGAATAAATTCCGTAGGCAACTGCGTACGGTTTGATGGTACAGCATTAATAAATTACAAGCTTTCAGTGTTGTAAATAACAGGCTGTTGTCCTCTAAGTAAGAACTGTTTATTGGCTGACCTTTCAGTCTATGTTGAGGCGTGGAGACCTTGGTTCGCAGTACAATTCAGTGGGAAGTGGCGGGCCCTGAGCCACTCTTGCTCTAACGCTCCGTACAACCGTACAGTAGGGCCGGTTGTAATGGACTCACGTGGACACGCGCCCGCAGAAACGTGAAAATAACGGGCACAAAGGCGACACGCCGAAGTATGTAGAATGAGAGGACGGAGAGAAGGAGAAGAAGAAGATGGATTTGAGGTTCTCTCAGCGGTTACTATTGTATTGAAGCTGCGTAGTCCCGTAAAGTTTACCGACGTTTCGCAGGAACGTATTGCCTCCATCTTCAGGGCCGAAGAGAAAGCAAAGCAAGCAGCAAAAAGAGCGCTATAATAATGAACGTTGAATCGGAACGGAAGTAAGAGGAAGTGGTCACAGCCTATTCTAAGGTATCACTTCAGCACTTACCCGAAGGGACTGAATAAAACTATGAAAACCTTAATGAAGACAGCCGGTCTTCAGGCTGACATTCGAACGCAGGTTCTTCAGAATACCAATCAAGAGCTATTACAATGAAACGTTCGGTTTCACGGCAATAACTGTTTTATATTATACTGAGGCACTATGCTACAAGCCGGAAGGTCGCGGGTTCATCCACCGATGAGGTGGATCTTTCTTTTTTCAATTTACCTAAGCTTTCCAGCCGCACTGTGGTCTTGGGGTCGACTCAGCCTCTAACAGAAATGAGTCCCAGGAAGCTTCCTGGGCGTAAAGGGCTTCCGGCGCTTAAGGCTCACAACCTCACCGCCATCTGTGAGCCGATTGTCTAGAAAATGTGGGAGCCTCGATGTCTCACAACCCTATGGGCCTTCACGGCCTGTTACAGGGATACCTTTACCTTTCTTTTTACTGAAAGACATTACAACCTGAACGAAAGAGCTCGCTTTGAAGAACTGGTCAGGTCTGGTCACTCTCTCTCCCCTATTCCGAACGAGGCCGACCCGAAACCGTCACGCATGCGCCTTGTTACTGCTTGTGTAGATTGCTGTTCACGGTAACCACTTATACTACCCCAAAGCATCCGTGAGTGGATGTTATTGGTTTCGGAACTGACGCTGTCACCTGTCGAGAGACATGGCGCCACATGCAAGAGTGACGTAAGCGTTTCTAGGTTTGCTCACGCTTTCTCAGCTGCGTCATTTCAGGCGCTGTCATCAGTCAGATTACAGAGAGGCACAGAAAATGTGTACACACTGCGGACATTTCAGAAGCTGAACCAAATGTAGGACGTGTACGCTGAAGCGTGTCTGCATTTCTTTGCGTGCCTCTGCTATAGCACGGAATGGTAGGGTGGCTGTTTGGAACCCGAAGGTTCATTACTGTATTATATTTAAGCATCCTGTTGCACTCTACATTTCTATATGTATAATATAAATACCGTCGTAAATGCAACAACTTATTGTAGTTCTTTGTCTTTCTTCTTTTACACTACATGTTTCGGCCGTAACTGGCCATCATCAGGTGTATTTCACTTACGTAGCTGTCACACTGCATGTCATTACCGTGTTCACAAGAGCCCTCAACTGATCCCTATCCTGAGCCACATCAATCCAGTCCATACCATCCAATCCTACCCTTCTGGGATCCACCCGCCGACGCCTTGGTCTTTCCAGTGGTCTCTTTCCTTCTGGCTTTCACAACAATATCCTATATGCATTCATCTTCTCCCCATTCGCGCTACATGCCCACCCATCTCATCCTGCTTGACCTGATCATTCTAATTATACTTGGACAAGAGTACAAGTCATGAAGCTCCTCAACGCCCTGTTCTCAGACACCCTCAGGTGTAAGTCCAGAGCGTTATGGCTCCGTCACGTTGCCGAGCATGGGACAGCCGGTGACAGTGGCGGGGGTGACACTGAGAACGGTGGAGGCGAAATTAAAATGGCGCCGGAGAAGAGAGTCATAATGAAGACTGCAGACGGAAAGAAAGGGGCACGCGGTAGCACAGTTGGTTCAGGCACTACGCTACAGGCCAGAAGGTCGCGGGTTCGATTTCCCGATGACGTATTTGGATTTCTAAATTGGGCCTAATCCTTCCAGCCGCACTATGGCCCTGTGGTCGACTGAACCTCTTAACAGAAATGAATAACAAGAATCTTCCTGGCGGTAAAGGGCTTCCGGC